GAGTTTGACCTGTTGACCGTACGACAGCGTGTAGGGCGACGACACGCGTTGCCGCTTCGCTTGTTGCAGTCTTCTTGATTCCTTGAAGCGGTTCAGATCCTCACCGCCGAGGGGATGCCTCTGGTCAAAGTCTTCAATCTCTTTCAGTAGTTGAGCACGTTCCGGCGACTCTTTCCAGGCCTTCGCAAAGTCGTCGGGGGTCCGTGGAACCCGGTTCTCAAAGCCTTCGCGGACGATTCGTTCTTGGGCGCTCGTCATGGACGTCAAGAAGTCGGCGGTGGTCTGTCGCTCGGGGCATTGGAAGCCAAGACGGACAAAGTAGTCTTTGGCATCCACGGTCCGCCCGAAATAGATCTGCCGTCCCTCATAAAGTACAATAACCTTGTCGAAGAGGTCGTATGCTGCCTGGGGAGCCTGGTAGATAGCCACCGCGGCCGTGTTGTTGAGGATCTCAGTCGAGAGACGCAGCGTTTTACAGAACTCAATGGCGTTGGCACTATCCAAACCACGGGTGCTGTTGTCCCAACATTGAAGAGGCGACATGTTCAGCGTGGCTTCGGCGATACTGACACGTTTCCTCTCGCCTCCACTGACACCCCGGATGAAGTCGTTGCCCACGCGAGTGTTGAAGGTGTGTCGGATGCCAAAAGTTGCCATAATAACGTCTCGCATATGGCACGCGTATTCGTGGGCGGAAACGTTTCCAGGTCGATGTCTCGGTGCTCTTGCACGTGCGGCAAAGTAAAGAGTGTCACCGACCGTCAACTGGGGAAAGTGGATGTCCTGTTCAGCAGTGTATATGGCCTCGCCGCGGAAGTGCTTGTGCATCTGATCAAAAGGAATCCCCTGGTAATTGACGTATGAATCCTCGTCGACGACGAAACCGTGTGTTTCGCCCGCGAGTGTCTTGAGGAACGTCGAGCAGCCCGACCCAGGAGGCCCGAGAACGACGAGCATTTCTCCATGGTTCACCAGTCCGTCGAATCCTCGAAGGATGTCGATTCTGCGTTGTCCAATGTTCAGGAGCTTGCGAGCCATGCCGAGGATCTGTAGCGGGGCGTTGCCGACTGTCTTCTGGTAATCAGTCGCCGATCCGAAACCGTGGGCGCTCAGGTTGCGGAACGCCACGCCGGCGGTCCTGGCAAGGAACCGGTCGTCTTTGTTCTGCAAATTAAACAGAGCCTTGATCCAGTCGTGGGTTGAGAAATTCTCGGAAGTGGGATCTAGGGAAGAGCCCGGCGCAGCGTGAAAGGGATTGGCATCCTCAGTCTTGGTGGACGTTCGTGAGAACTGTCGAGCCAGATATCTGACGTGAACATCCTCATCCTCTTCGTTCTCCGAACTTCGAGATTGGTCGCCCGCCGGTTTTTCTTCCATGCCCGCCGAGCTCGTGCGACGCTCGTGACTGGCACCGTGGTGTGCAGAGGATGAATCCTCCATGGCTATGGAGCGACGACTCTCGTGAGATTTTACCCGTGACGGGCCGTTGGGCTCGTCGTGTGATTCCCTGCGGTAGTGTCCCAAAAGCCCTGGGCCCTGTCTCCCGGCACTGTTGTCGTAGTTGGAGGTGAAATTACCTACGAGAGACATCTTAGACGTCCTCGTTCCCGGTGGGAGAGCAACCCAAGTTGAGGGGGGATTGCCCTCGCGTTGCCGTCAAAAGGGAGGACGGTACGGCGGATTGAATTAATCAGGGTTGGACAATGAGCCGGCAAGTATGTGGTGGACTACCCCGAAGGATACGACTGAGCCGCAGCCTCAAAATAGAATCAGTCTATGAATGAAGGACCAAAAAAAAAGGAAAGGGAAAGGGAAAATGGAACGGGAGACTGGCGAGGAATCTGGGAGCGCAGTGTCGTAAGAGTTCGTCTGCAGGTTAAGAACGATCTTATATTGGCAACTCTAAACAAATCTCAAGTCTTGGAATGCAACCGCAGGCACTATGATGGGGATGTCGATAAGCTGTCCGCATCCGTTGGTGGATCGGGGCGGAGCATTTGTGCGTCGCTGTCGTCAGGGGGAAGGAGGACGGCGGACGAAGAGGACAAGAATTAATCGAGATGTGCACCGGCTACGGAGAGCTTCGGGTGCACAATGAACGAATGCCAATATCCAAGACGTGGCCATGTTTTGACGTTGGGCTTGTGGCAATCACACTGGCGTGACTTGGGGGTGGGAGAGGAAAAGCATGTCAAGGCGGGAATCGTATGAACTTCGGAGAGATTAGAGTTTGGCGCGAGTCAACTGCCAATATCAACATTGGCCATGGCTCGCCACATGACTCAAGCTTTTCCTGGGTCCCCCACTCTGCCCCTCTTGCTCCACCATATCATTGGACTAGCCCCTGGCGCCGAGTCCTGCACAATTTGCCAGTTCCCCTTTTGGGTACTTTATGAACCCTGCCTCGGCAGCCGGAATCACGACGGCGTGGGTGCATCCGGTCCTACATAACTATACGACACTTCCCTACCGAGGAAAGTCTCATTCCTGAAATCCACCAATGAGAGAGCCATATACCACATTCGTTAAGGTGTACGTCGTGGGGTGCCCTCGAGAAAAAATAATGATCAGGAGACCAACATGCTATTTTAGCCGTCTGGAAATTCAAGAAACCCTCTCTAGTATGAATTCGGGTGCTTCGTACGAACGGCGATTGCTTTAGCTGCGATTGTGCTAGCTGCGATATAGGGCGGTGAACGGAAAAGTACTGTACACCTGGACATGGTCGCGCGTTCATTTCTTCGGACTTCTCTACAGTCCCCCAAGTTGTTAGACAGACCATGCAATGTCATTCACTCAGCACGTAAGCACATGGAGAGCCTTCTTATCGTTCATAATGGAGCTTATTTTTTTTCCTCTGGCTAACCAACGCAGATCTCTATGCTCATCAACATTTCAGTTCCTCGTGGGTCTGGAACGAAAGCCGTTCAATGTCCACTCAGATCTGGCCGTCCAACTTTCCCCAGTCTTCGCCGCCCTGATCAACGGTAGCATGGTCGAGAGTGTCGAAAGACGGGTTGTCCTGGACGACATCGACGAAGAGACCTTTCTGCGCTTCTGCGAATTCGCCTACAAGGGAGACTTTTCGGTACCTCCGCCCAAAACCGTCGTTGACCAGGAACTGCCGTCGTCACCACAACTGGAAACAGTCGACGAAAAGTTCACTTCTAGCCATAACAGTTCTCACTCTACCGGCGTCCCTATTGGAAAAGTCCTCGATGGCGGCGAAGGAGAAGGGTTGAAGGTGTTGGCGACGGGTTTGTGGCCCCGGGTCCGGGGCGACCAGCACAAACCAGCTTGGAGGCATCAGATTTCGCGGCCAGTCTCGTGGCTGCGAGGGCGAAGAACGGTCCGCACCACCGACAATCGCACGCGGGACTCCCTGGCAAAACCTGCAGTTGTCTCAAATCTCCCCGATCCAGGCTCGAAGCTGGCCGCCGACTGGGCCAAGTTCTGCAACGCTTCCACAGACTGGGACGGGCCCCTTTTCCGACCGTACAAGAACTACACGCCCTCGGAGAGCCTGACGGAGATGCTCCTGTCCCAGGCGAGATTGTACGTCTTTGCCGACAGATACGTCATCGAGTCGCTCAGATCGCTGGTTCTGTACAAGATGCGCCGTTCATTAGCCTCGCTCAAGCTGTTTCCCGAGCGCGGACCGGAGGTGTTTCTGCTCGTCCAGTACGTCTATGAAAACACAAGAGAAGGCGACGACCTCAGAGCCTTGCTGACGCAATTCATCGCCTGCATGATCACCGTTTTTCTGCAACACCCCGACTGGGACGGATTCATTCGCCAGCAGCACATTTTCACCATGGATTTGCTGAAACATCTGAGAGATAGTGTGGAGGTTGATGATGGGCGGAGAAGAAGCGCCGCATAATAACCTTTTTTTCTTGGTTCTCTTCTTCGGATCTACACCCTTATCAGGGTGCTGGCTGCGCCACGAATGTTTTGTGTCGTTTGGGCACAAGTTATATAGATGGGGCCCCTTTGGTCCTTAGACCAGTGGTTACCAAGCACCATCACTTCAACCTGTCGGCTACGGCACAGCTCCGCGAGGACCACCACCACCACCACCAGCATTTATGGAGGACGGACCCGCAGTGTCTCTGGCCGAGCATAAAATCCAGGACATGCCGCCTATGAGGCTGCCCCACGGAGATTGGGCATGCAGGAAGAAGAGGATTCGCAGATAACACATAGACGAGATTGCGTACGCAAAGCGTGGGATTAATGTGACGGCTACTCACCATCAATGGATCGCCCTGTGTGAAGCAGTGGCAGATAGATATGTGAGGTACCTTGTTTGCTTACCAACTCGTGAATACGTACTACTCCCTGTGGAGACAAGGGGGGCCACTGAGGCGATCGTTGTTGGGAGTGATAGAGGGTAACCGGGGCATGACGAGGAAAGATGCCATTCCCACGAAAGCTCTGGCTTCATATAGTCGTCTGGAGCATATTATATAGATTCACGAGACGTGTTATGGGACGGCGAGGAAAAAGAGAAAGGTCGGGTTATAAGCAATTGTGAGAAGGTTCCATACCCACGCCCAGCTTCACATCTTCACATCTTCACATGTCTCTCAACTTCCATGCATATTTGTACAAGGTACAAGTACAAGTACATATTTTGTCCTTTGTACACTGTGGGGACCTGAGAGCAGCGAATCGGATCAATTTCAGTGGGAAAAATATAGTTTGATACACTTCTATCGGCGGTGCAATCAACGCAGCAACCCACCAAACCCACTATCCCACTTGCGTACTCTACCAAGCCATTCGGCCGTCCAATGCTGGAGACTTTGAGGACTCTGAAGCTCGTCCCTTCGTGTTCGTATGGTTCGTATTCGAACCAAGACGAATCACTCGTCGAAAACACGAGACTCGGGAATGCCTTCAACTCCCCTCCACTCCCTCAACCGCAACTTGTTTCCCGGTCCCTCGACGGCGGCTTGTCTTTGCTTCGCCCGAACCGGATTTTTGCCCCCCAAGCATCAAGAGCCAAGCTTCAGAATTTGCTGGTTCTCAACGACCTTCTCTGGCGGTGGGTCGATGCAGAATCTCGCCAGCGCCTTCGCCAGCTGAGTAACCGTGACGACGGGCGTCATCAGCGATGCGATCTTGCCGAGAAAGATGCTCTCATCGCGCACGACCCCACCGGGCCGGAGCACGATTACCTCAAACACATCTGGATGGGTATTGGCGATGTCGAGCAAACCCCGTTCAGCAGCGCCCTGGGGATGATGAGACGTCAGTAATGGTCGCGACCAGCTGACCGAGCCCGACGAGCACAAAATAAGTCGTCGCCGACGGTAACACGCCGTACCTTCAGTTTCCGCGTGTCGGAGAACAGCCAGAGCTTCCTGTCCTGGTCCCATTCCGCGCCGTTGCCGCTGCAGAAGACAAACCGGAGTCTCTGTCCCGGTGGCAGAGTCGGACAGACACCTCTCACCAAGGCGTTGGCGGCGGCCAAGGTGAAATCCACGCCGACCGTCCTCGCAGTCTGGAGATCGGGAAAGTCCTCGACCTTCCCTCCCAGACACCTGGGAACACCCTCGGGGGTTAGCCCTTCTACCTGGCAAAAACACAGGGTGATCTTTGGGCCCACTTTACCAAATACAACCTTGGACTCCGTAGAGTTGTTGGAGGAGGTCTGTCGGGTATGATAAAAAGTCCTTGTGACGGATCACCTGCACCTTGGGACTTTGGCTCAGTGTCTCGTCAATATTGCGCCTCGTCAGTACAATGATGTAGGAAATCCTCGGGTTCTCGATCGCTTGGACCACGACTTCCCTCCCGACAAAACCAGTGGCCCCCGTGATAATGATCTTCATCATCGCAGACTAGACACTCGAGACACTCTATTGAATTCGGGATTGCCGTTCAACTTGTTTGACAACAGTGATATAACAAGTAGAACGTGTGAGTCTTTGTAGGAGCTTTTGAAGCTGGATGATGGCGCGAAACGGCGATGCAGAGAAGGTTGTCCGTGTCCTAGACTACTCTCTAAGGGTATGCCTGGGCCAGATTGTTGGTAGATGCTTCGGGCATAGATCATGTAGCATCCGGGGCAGATGCATTTGATAGGTGGAAAAGAAAACCCCTGTTCCTTGTATCGGATCGTGTTACATGGGCCACCCGTCTAGTCAGCTAAACCCGTGACTGGGACATACAAGTACACCGTATGTGCTTGGGAGAAACCCGGTACTGCAGACAACGACACGGGGAAAAGCTGAGCGTGCAGGACTGGCAGATTGGAGTTTTCGATGGTCAAGGGAGACCTCCACAACAAGGACCACAAAAGAAGGACCACAAAAGTAGAGACGGAGAACGGAGGGACGAGCATGCCAATGTGCTTGATCTGGCGCAGTTGAGTAGACACAACATGACGGGTAGAAATGAGGAGAGTGACAGGCACACCACTTTAATCCAAGGCAAGTCAGCCTCGTACGAGCTCAAAGCGCAGAGGAAAGCCCCGGACACTCATCTTAATACCCAAGATCTCCGGGTAAAGAACCGACCATGTTCTGGAATCTCCATGGTCTTTGACAGTGCGAAGATGTCTCGAGAGAAGTCTTGCCAGGCGTTGTTCACCGTCTAACTCGAAATTGACTCCGGCTTCAAGACAAAACACGCTGTGCATAGCTGATCAGCCATGTGGCCCCCTTTCAACGCCTCTTGCCTTACCAAGACTCGACCGCAACCTTTGAGTGAAGCTCGCAACCTAAATATCTTGTCTTCGACTTGTCGTTCAATCATTTCAGTCATCATGTCGACCCTTCCCAGACCTCACTGGCATCACCGCAATACTCGATCATAAGTCTGCCCTTTCACAGACCCGCCTCCCATCGCCGTCCTTGCATTCCGCCGGAAACCCTCTCGGTTGTTTCGGAGATCTTCAGCCGCCTCCTTGTTGAGCGGATCGGACGCATTGGGCTCGAGGAAAAGAAACTGTTCAGCGAGTTAGCTGCAACCCGTGACGCTCGACATTGAATGGAGAGTTTACCTGCATGCCCACGATGACGGCATTTAGATTCAATACCGGCTTCCAATCCTCTCTTAGAATATTCAAGCAGACATTTCCATCTAGGTCGATGTTTGGATGATAGATCTTCTGAGTGCATTTGACCTTCGGCGGATCGTGCGGGAAGTTCTGGTTGATGGCAAAGTTAAACACGAAGCTACCACCCTTGTACATGCCTTCATCTGGTTCGATCGTGAGAGTAAAGTTCAAGATGTCGTCGGGGTTGGGAAATGTCGTCTTCATGGTCGACCCGAGGGACAATTCACTTAGATCTGCGAGAAACTGCATTAGACGCCTCTCCAGCCAGACAAAGGGAACCGTTCACCTTTTTGCACGCGAAGTTGAGCGGCTGTGACCTTCTTCTTCTTCTGCGTCACTCCTTGTGCCTGTTCATCCTTTTGTTGCTGTTGTTTCTGCACATTGCCATCAGTGATTAGCTATAGGCACTGGGAACCGCTCCTACCATTGACCATATTTTCATCATCTTGTCAGTCGGTCGTCACCACGGGGTGACACGACAGCTCGATCGATGTGTATCTCTAAAGAACTCTGTGAATCAGACCAGAGAGCGTGGAGGGCGGGGAGTGGTTGACGGAGGCGGGCGTGTCAGTCGGATCGGGAAGAGGAACAAAGAGGGCAGGGCGCAGCCTGAAACTCGGCGTTCTCGTGTCTCCTTCCGTGAACGGGTGCGGGACAGCGGAGGCAGGACAATGGGATATCGGCAGTGCGAGGAAATCCACGAAAGAGAACTTCACAGATAATGTAAATAATGTAGATGGCTATCACGATTTAAAAGTCCGGAAAGTCAGAGGGGGAGGCCCCTGCGCTCGAGTGCCACTTGCTCGAATCATGTATGGGAATCTGGCTGTGCTCACATGACGCAGGTGGCATCCACAGCCTCGCCTCCTTGGAGGACCAGTCAAACATAATAAACGCCATCCTTTTACTCGATACATGTATTTAATCCAAACCCCAACACCATTTTATTGTGAGTCCGCTGCTAAATCCGACAGGAACTGTGTCTTCACCAACTTCAGCCCCAAAGGAGACCGACATCGGAAATAAGCCTAAGCTTCTCCCTTCAATGCCAACTGTGATCCAGACCTGACCATATCCAACACACTGGGAGGGACGACTATCTTCTATTGAAACAGCAAAGCAGACCGGTCCTGCCAAGGAACCAGCAGCACCCGGTGAAGCGCACAACGGAAAGAGCTGCCGTGGTCCACAAGAGCGCTTGGAAAAAGTGGTTGCTTCGGCTCGTTGCTCTAGACTGTGGGAGAAGTTAGCAGTGGGACTCACCGACATATGTCAAGATACTTACAGTAAACCCAAAGTTGTCGACGCTGTCACTAGTAATGACAACCGAGAGCAAGGCATTCGAAAAGATCCATGTCGCCACCAGTCGAGTTCTGAAGTTCTTGTACGAATCTTCCAGCGTTTTGTCTTCCTTCTCCTCAGGTGGCACGTACGGCGCCAAAGCACGCCGCACTGTAGCCTCGAATTGAGAGTCAATGTCGGCTTGCGGTCGGTCCACTTCTTCCACAACCGTCGCCTTGCCCTTTTCGTCCTTCTTGGTTTGCGCCGAAGGTAGCACGTCCGCCTTGTCCGAACCTTTGGTTCCCCACGAGACGTCGTGCCAGTTGCTAAAGGCGTAGATCATGAGGATGTTGATGAAGGACGGCATGAGGAGCAGGTACTGGAAAAACGAGGTGAACATGTGCCAAGGATCTAGATACATGAACGAAGCCACGAAATACAACCCGAATGTAGCCGCCAGCGCGATGATGACGATACCAGGTCCGGTCGAGGCGAAGAAGGATTTGAGGAATTCGTTAGCCCCCTCGTTAGTGACAATGTCAGTGCCATCTTTCGAAGTGAATGCTTTGACCACCAGATACATGGACAGGACGATCACGTAGAGCTGGATGACGGCGAAGACGCAGAACGAGATGATGTATGCAACCTTGGAGCCCTTGGGACGGTTACCCAAGGCCAGGATAAACTGCAAGAGCAGAAAGGCCAGATAAGCGTATTGCAGGACGGTGTTGATGATTGGTGTCGCACTGTTGCCGAACGGGAAAGCTTTGTTGTTGTTGTTACTGCTGGGTTGACCCACCAGATCCATGAGAATTTTGGTGGTGAGCCAGAAAGCCGCGAGAGAGAACCAGGAAAGGATAACTGACACAATGTTGTAGATCATTTGAATGTGGAAGAAGAGCATTCGGATGATGTTGTGGCCGGATTTGTACATACGGGAGAAGTGCATGAGCGAGTAGATGGAGGCGGCAAAGGAACCGTTGAGCCAACGTCGACGTTGACCGATGAATTCTGCCGCTCCTTCAGGCACGTCGGTTTCGGCTTTGGAGGCCTTGACGTAGGTCAGATGCCATTTCGAACCTGCCTTAGCGACCAGTTCAAAACACAGGATACGATCCTCGGCCAAGAACATGTTCTTCTTGAAGATATTCATGCCTTCGATACCCTTCTTTCCCAGCCGCTTCGACAGGGTGTGATCGCCGTGGAAATACTGCTCCAGGGGACGACCCATGATCGCTCGGAAACGATATGCTGAGAACGCACCGGGGAGCACACTGACGTAGCCAAAAGAGCTCTCCAATGGTTTGTCCAAGATGTTACTGATCTTGTATTCAAAGTTCTGCGCGGCGACCAGAGGGTTCAAGAGCTTTCGTCCAAAAACACCCCCGCGACCCAACATGGCGTGGATTTCACCGCAAGCACCTCCGAGATCCTTGTCGTTATAGAACGCCTCCCACAGAGCCATGATAGCCTTCGAGCCGGGCTTAGTGCCGGCATCTAGAAGAATACAGATCTCCGGGTTGAGGATGCGGCCAAACGCGTTGAACAACCATCGGTGGGAGTTGATCTTCTTGCTGTTCTTCTGCTTTAGACAGAACATCATCTGCACTGGGGGCAACGACGTTGGGTCATTGTCGCTCGGCCGAATGAGCTGTTGATTCGCTGTCACGGAAAGCTGGGTTGTATATTCGAAGAGATGGACCACAGTCTCCTTGCCATCGACGTCCTTCTTCATGACCCCATCTTGATACACACCAACGGTCGCAAGAACGTCCAAGGTGTTCTTGTCGCAAGGGTCGATGCCATCGAAGATGATACATACGACGATCTTCTGCCAGGCCGGTCCGCCTTTGTTCCAGAACTCGGATTTCTTGAGGTTGACGATGTCGCGGATATTCTGCATCACTCCGTGCAATGTGCGGGCTGTCAAGACCTTGTCTTCGTTGTAGGCCGTGATTGCGATGAGGAGCTCGGTGTGCCGGTTGTACATGGCGGGACGAAGGTTGTAGCCGTTCTTTAGGGTAAAGTCATCGGGATCGCAGGTAGCAGCCGTGTAGCGCATGTGGGTAAACTCCTCGCTCCCACCCTCGAGGTCGGTCCGGTATTTGGACTGAATTGCGTTCTGGATGGCACTGGGCACCGGATAGTCGATACTCAGCACGCTGTTGACGACCTTGACTTTTCTTGTAGCGTAGCGTTTGACTGTGCCGAAGCCAGGAGCTTGTCGTTGCTTCCATGCCTCCGTAGAATTGCTGCGCTCAGTCGGATCAGGATAACCCGGGGTAGGAAACCCGGCCTGCGTATTGCTCAAGCCATAGCCTCCTCCGTACGCCTGAGTGTGCTGAGGGTTGTATCCTGTGACTGGGGCTTGTGACTTGTCTCCTCCTACATACGTCTCATTCAGGGTGTAGATCGATTCTTGTCCTGGCGTCAACGGGCGGGAATGCGGGTCATCGTATTGCGACTGATACGCAGCGTTCTGGTGTAGCAAGGAATGCTCTGCTTCGTCGTCTGAATGATGTTCATTGGATCGGTAAGCCTACGCAAAGGGTCAGTTCAGCTCGTTTCACAAGGGGGTCAGGCTCGATCCACGTACATTTCCAGGGGGGATGTCACTGAGTTGATGGCCATTGTCATAGCCACCCGGATATTGGCTCGCCATGGCGCTGAAGTTGAAGAATGGGGGGAAAGGAAATGTGGTGTTGTGCTAGAAAAGGCGGTTCGAGGGCTGAGACCCGGCACCACCGCAGTTGTTATGGTTATCCCACCGGGTGAGATACGTGGTATGGCAGGCAGGTCACTGGTTCAGTGAGTAGGTGTGAGATTTTACTGACAGACTGACAGCCGCCAGGGCCGGTCAGAGGGCAGGAGTTGCTGCAACTAGGGGAGACCACTGATGGCTGATACAGCCTGTCAGAGGGAGTGCAGGGTGATGAATTAGGTGATATAGATGCGGAGACGAAAGCGGGCAAAGAAAGTCAAATCGGCGGATCTCAAAGGAGAGGACAAAGAGAGCAGGACCAAGAAGGGTCAACTGCAATCGAATTAGGATCTTTACAAGAAGAAGATGGTGATGATTGAAAAATGACCTGTAAACCACGGGGACCGAGAGGTGTTGTTTCAGTTTTCTTGGTTTTCTGAACACTTGGTTGCACACACGCCCACACAGCCTGCTGAAGACGCAGCTCAGCCCTTTTTTGGGCAGGGTTCAAAGTCCCCTGAGCTGAGAGAAGCGAATCCGGCTAAAGGCGCAAGGAAATGGGAACAAAGCGCTGACGACAGGCATTGCACTACTGCTGGCGGGTGGCTACCAAGCCACCTACTACTGGAGGCCAGTCTCAGCCTGTTGAGCCTTCGCTTAACTGGTTGCTTGCGATCCCTGGGCTGGCGAATCCCCATCTGATGCCCAGCGACAGAAGACTTTCAGCCGCACCCTGGCCGTATTGCCTGTCTGCTTATGATCCTTGATAGAAGGATGAGTAGAGTCCCCCCTTAGTCGTGGATTGTAATCAGACAGCCATCACTCTGTACCTGGTGCACAGCGAGAGTGCACTCCTTGAGGGACTGCGCAACCAAACGCAGATCGTATCTCTGGATCTCAACTATGAAACACCGGGAACGAAACAGTGGATCCAGCCTGCCAGTGTCTTTGGTATCGGAGAGTTCGCCCGTGCATACGATGGTGGCGTCCTCCACGGCTTGGGCAAAATTCCACTCCCCCGCAGTTTTTGCTGGAGTGCCTCCTGAAAGTATTCGACAGGCTGGACGGGATGGGATAATTCGCCGCATGCGTGGCATTCAGGACAGATTGATTGTCGACTTCTATTCCGGTCGCCTTGCCAGATGACCAAAAGATTAGGACATGACAACAACGTTGTGTGCGGCCAATTCTCAATGGATCTGGCTGACTCTCACATCGTTCGCAAGGAAGCGCCACACCGTAAGACCTTGACTTAAAAGGTATGTACCCATATTTAGATCTGCCTGAGTGAGGTCCTGCGCCACAGGTGGCAACCCTTACACAAGTTGGGACACGGAGCACCATTACTGCACCGGGGAATTGGAGACATATGCTGTATTCTGCGCAGAGACACGTTCCATTCCGCTTCAGACGTGGTGACTTCAAACGTGCTGAGGCCGAATTGACATTGCAAATGTTGTACCAGACAGAGCTGCCCAACAGTCATCTCCGCCCCTATTCCCTGCGGATTTCAGGCCATCTCCGAAATGAGTGAAAGGGGAGCATTATTTTTTTGGTTCTTCCTCTTCATACAAAGACGATATTCATGTGGTACCGTCATCTGAAGGTAGGAAAAAAAGGCACGAGGGTCTCTTGAGTACTTTGCGGTGTGGGTGATAATGAAACTATTCATGTGTTACTAGAAGTCTGCTGCAACCTTTTCGGTAGCTGATATTCCACAAGGGGTCAAATATGCCTTTGCATGCTTCTGGGCAAACAATTCATCATTGGGCTCACATGAGCCCTGGGTGAGCCTACCTCCCGTCGATGGATCTGCGTCGACGATTCGAACCCCGTCGTGGGTTTCGATGAGATGCTGTTCGTGGTTGACCTGGAGCTCCTCGTAAACTCCTCGATGCCTTCTGATTGGAACAAGGACCAGGTCGGGTCAGGAGATTTCAACAACTCTTCAGATTAGTACAAGTGAAAACCCTTGCGAGCAGCTTGTTTGAAGGAGAGATTTTGCGGGCGGCGCTTTTCCAATTACAGGCATTAGGCAGTCCGTAGGCGCACCAAGCTTTCTTTCATTGCGGCCTGTGAGCCAACCGCATTCGTGGTCCACCACCGTAGGCTTCGCGTACAATGCCCCTTCATCTCCCACTCGCTCACCATCACCTTGAGTTCCCGGAGCACATCAATGCCCATTTGCCCGTCCCTGTTCGCTCGTTGCCTTTGGCTGTACCCATCCTCTCCACCACCACTTTGCTGGCTGGAGGGTCGAGACTGCCGGTCCAACTCAGCTGCGATTGTTTTTCGATTCCTCTCCATCCCTTCGCACTGAGCGCCCTGCAATCCTTCAAACAGCTTCATACTTACTTCAATTCAGTCTTTTCCACGTTGGATTTTGGCTTTTTGTCGAGACGTTGTCTCGTCCCACATTCTTTTGTCTCTTGTTTGGTCACCGCTCCCGGCACGGTCCAGTCACTTCCTTTCGACCACGGAATCTTCTCTTTTTTGGCACAACAAGAACTCGTGGTTGATCCACAGTCATTGGGCTCTTTATCATAATCTTTTCACTATCGCATTCTCGAACCTTGCCTCACTGCGAACTTATCAGAAGGGTTGTAAGCCGACGACGTTACGACCGCAGAGCTCTCACGAGACACGAGGAGGGGTTTGAGACGAGATTAATACACCTGAGTTCGACAGGTGTAATTGATCCGGTGACTCTACGGCTGTGAGGAGTAGACGATTGAAGCTACAAGAAGAGCGGCGCCGCGATGGCGTCGAATGGCCGTATGCACACCCAGAGACGAGGATCTGAATCCAGCTAACATTCGAGTGAAGTTTTCGAATCCTCTGCACACCACTTATTTCGTCGATGCGTCCAATGCCCCCCTGATCCTCCCAGCTGCCCGGCATGCGGCGTGGATGAGACTTGCTCTTTAAGTGCTCAGTCGTGTGACTCGTGCGCGTCTACAACCTGTGTTAAAATTGGTTCTCTGCCTGGACAATCATCACCCAAAAAGTCTACACCTGTCGGCCCAATCGTCGGCGGAGTGGTCGGAGGTGTGATCCTACTGGCAGTCATTGCCTATGTGATTTATAGGTACCGAATGCGCAAGAAACGACGCGCTCTGGCTTGGGATCCTCCAGAAAAGAGAGATCAATCCACGCTCCATCGAGCCAACCGTCAATCCACTAGGTCTGCTCACTCGATCGCCTCTACTGTCCTAACTCGAGCTTCGAATGTCATCCAGATTGCCTACATTCCAGGAGTAACTGTCCGGTCACCCCCAGACTCACCAGGATTCATTCCACCGGTTCCTTCGATCCCTGGAGGCATTGCCTCCAACTCTGCCAACGGGTCACCCCAGCTGGAGCAGCATTTCTTCATGCCGAAAGACTTGAGAGATTCTACCTGGTCCGACACTTCTTCCATCGACCCGCGAATAAGCCTTGCCCCGAGCTTGGCTCGAGCAAGCGTGGCGACGACGATTTACCGTAGTGATGCTGTTGTTCCACCTATACCAGCTCAACAGGCCTTCCGAGCGCAAGCCAACGTCGTGAGTGTTAAGTCCGGTGCGAACACTCCAGGAAACTCGTCAACCCCAAGCGCGAGAACGCCACAGATCCCCCAAGTCCCACAAATGCCCAAATTAGGAAGTAGCAACAGCTCTATCGTCGCGAGAAACGTCACTGCGCGACCTATCGAAGTCAAGAAAGCCAGCTCGGCGACCAGGGTACCTACACTGGCAAATCTGGCGAAAGAAGCCTCACGAAAGAGCAGTACGGCTACAAGCTCAAAGGAGAGCATTCCGTTCTTCGTGGATGAAAAGGAAGTGGTTCCTTCTCCCGCGACTTCAACTCCCCTGACTGTCCTCGACGAGTCTCCAATATCACCCTTGGTGATTCCCAAGCAGCCCTTCGCAGCCAACCACTCGGCGAGGTCATCGTCCGTGAGCGCTATTTTGCCTTTGGAGGGTTCTAAAGGAGGTTCGTCCCCGGGCCCAACACATCGGCATACCGGCAGTGCCACCTTGAGTGCCGCAATCGAGGACGCCATCAAACGTGCCCGGAATCCCGAACACATGAACGTGAGCAGCCCGACCCTACGGCCGGAACTGGTCAAGCATGATGCGGGACCGTTTTCAGATGCCAATGAAGTGAAGGAGAATTTGCCTTGATGTACAATAGCCTCTTTTTTCGTTTCTCCGCCATATCCGGCCCTTTGGGAAACCGGCATGTGCCACGAGGGCCTTGACGATATTTTGGGTGGTTAGATTAGGACGATCAAGAAATCGATTTTCATGGGGGAACTATGCTCTATACCATGACGCTGGAGACATCCTACTTTTCACTCCATAAATGTCGTAGATGCGTTGAATTGTACTCGGTACTCGGTATTGCCGTCTATCCGGTCTCAGTACGAATAGCAGTTCCGTGGGCCATGTATCTCGTACCACGGGGCTGGTTTCGAGGTGCTACACATCACGTTGGAAACGCGCGCTCACGTGACTTGGCTGGATATTGGTGACACGACCGCGTAGACGCGTCGCCCTCGTGTTCATTCACACGCGCTGATCTGATCTGACGAAATATTGTGACCACAAAGGTATTGTCAACCTGTGCAAAGCTTGCTTTCTTTCGACAAGTGTTCAATATGGGCATCAAAATGGAGGGCGATTCTTCACCACCACAGCAGCCGGCTTCGCAGGATGAGGACATTCACCTCCCTGACGCTCCAACTTCGTCGTCTGTGAACAAAAGTGAGGACAATGCCATGGCAAAGCCCTCCGAAGAGGGGCCCGTGGCGTTGGAAGATTTGTTTGACGATGACGACGACGATATCGCGAGTGCTTTGCAATCCTCGAGTGAAGCGAACATGCCTTCCTCTCCGCCGCAATCAGCTCCCGACTCGCTCGGCGCGGCTGTGACTACACAGCAGGAGTCATATTCAGATCCTATTATAATGAAACAGT